AGCAGCAGCAGCAGCAAAAATAGAAGTAGTAGTAGTAACGATATTCAGTGGTCAGACGAACGCAATTTGCCACGGAGATGCGAAACGAACCCGAGAAGGGGGAGAGAGAGAGAGAGAGAGAGAGAGAGAGAGAGAGAGAGAGAGAAGGTGGTCGTCCCGAGAATTTAAACAAACATATTACAGCACTAAATCTCTCCCACGAATCGCCGGTTCTTCGATCGGCAAACGGTCCACTTCCCCGATCCCTTTGTCCCCGCGATAAATTACACTTCTCATCTTACGGCCAACCGGGGCCGGACAATTGTCCAGCGCAACACGCGCCATCATCATAAATCAAGCCCACCCGCTCCGCTATGGTCGCATTGGCAGAGTTGCGCGGATTTTTGCACCTCCTCCACCGTGCGAGAGGGAGATGGCCAGCGAGTGCCGGTTATGTAACCTTTTCCGAACAACTTTTTCATCCGCGGGACGCGTACCATGCCGTCGACTCAATTTCCCAGGGAAATCGCTCCTCGCGACAAGCTTCCCTTCCGCTTTTTGCGAGATCCCTCGCCTATTCCGCTTGAGCGGAAACGCGAATATTCGTGCACCCCCATGAACACCGCGGCCGTTCCTCAACTTTCAACTAACGGAGCGATATTATTGTACGCAAAATAATTCCAACTCTGAATATTCGATAAACAAGCGCGGTAATATCTTCCTCTACGGGAAGTAGCTTATTAATTTTGTGGAATGTTTCGTGAATTGAATCGTCCGTGAAGGGAACGCGGAAGTTGAGACTGACAGCACACGTTTACGTAACCTCCCACAATTTCCAAATTAATTCAGACAAAAAGAAACAATACATGTAAAACAAATGCTAGTAAACAATCATCGCAAAAACATGTAAACACTGCTAAAACATATCGAGAGACTAATAACGTTGTTCCATGAAATCTCCAACGAAGATTAAACGCACTTACGCACGGGCAAAGATCCCATATAAAATGTTCCCGCGACTGAAAGGATTAATTACCAGCTGAATCCGCGCGCGTTGCATGCGGTAATATTATAATATACTTTAATGAACCCTCTCGCGTGCAAATCGCTTTGCATCAACACAGTTCTTAATAAAGTGCAACAACTCGCCCGTTACTATCGTCGAGAATCTTGGAGCACTTTGTAGCAGCGTTATTCAACTTTTTTCCTTCCCTAGCGAAATTGGTCGCTCGCTTCTGCTGTAAACGTTTTACATACATTCTCGCGTAAATTGTATGATGTATGTAAATTCCATCTGCCGATTTCCACGGACATTTCCCCCCTAACTTTCCTCTTTCCC